TTTTTTAAAGATTCACGATTATATTAATGGACGGTTATAAGGGAATGGAATTTTATTGCTAAATTAACAAAGGTTCGTATTTCAAAATCGTTGCAAAATGATTTTCTAAGAAAGATCACAATATACAGTAAAGCTAATGACTTACATCTAACAATTAGGATGTTAATTTATGTTTTGATTGGTTACTAATTAATAGGAGAATGTATTTAAAAAAATTACGAATCTAATATTCATACTCACTATCTATGTGTGGTGAGATTTATTTGAATTAGCTGAAAGTTTTATACAAATTATGAACAAGATATACAGTATTTACTCAAGATTTGACGAACGGTGGTTAGAGAATTGTAATTTCATGTCAGTTTCAGTGTTAAGTTGTTTAAATTGTGCTTACAATAATATTGAATCTTTCTTTATTACTCACAAACTAGTAGTCGATCAGAAAATTGTTATTTGATACTATATTTTATGTTTAAACTGACTGAAAACTTCGCTCGTAAATCCGAGCGTTCGTTACTCACTTTCTATATGTTCGGTCAAAAGTAAATTAGAAAATATCCATGATGCATTAGCCGAAAAGATTGTTTTCAAAGTTACTGTGATTTAGATTCTTACCGTCTAATTTATAGTATGATAATCGATTGTAAGTGTTTTTTAACGTTTATTTTAAATTAGCTAAAAACTTCCATATTAATAAACCATGGTAAATTACTTACAAGCTGAAAATTTCATTCGGTATCAAATTATTTAGAATGTATATTCGGGAACATTGTCGATTTATTACTAGACTACAAACAAACTGATGATAATAAAGAAACGATTTACGAACGTTTAGCGCTAACTTAAATAAAAATTGCACACAATTGAATCAAATACTTAAATATTCACAGCCTGTTGAACAATAATTAGAGTTTAAAATATAAGAAGAGTCGTCCATAATATATTCAAGAACCAAATTCTTACTTACTTCCTGATAGTATAGTATGCGCGCAATTGAAATTAGAAATAAAATTTGAAAGTAGAAATCAATATTAAACAAATATTTACACCTACTTCCAATAAATTTAGTATGTAGCGATTAATTAATAGTTTCAAATATATATATATATATATATATATGGGTAATTATTTTGAAGACGACAAAAATGCTAGATATGATTTTTTCGGACCCTACTTTTAAACAATACACACATAATGATCACAATTGTAGTACCAGAAAATTTCTGGTCCGCCTTCGAAAATAATTACCCATTAATTTTTATGCAAGTTTTAGTAATTCATTAAACGATAGATAATACTGTATATACTGATCAATCAGTTATTAGATGTAAACAAATATTGACTTATCTTTGTATCTAACAATTTTCTATTTTACAAAAACTGCAACGAACTGAGAGTCCGAAAAAGTCCGGTGGGAAAGTGTCTTTTAATGGGTTGATTGAGAGTATGATGAAAATGAAAATGATATTATATAATGATATCATTGAATTTCATTGATATGCATGCCCCGCGCCTAATGGTAGTGTGGCGCAGCAACTACACAATTAAAGAGGTTAAAACAAATCAAGTATATCAATGGAATATTTGCGAGTCACAAATAATTCCTAATAAAGGTATTAAAGAGACTACGAACCCCAGGACCCAACAAATTCAGTTCAAGTCGTTCGCCATAGGTTCGTTTTAGACGAAAAAATTGTCTTAAGGCAATGCATGAGCGACCATGTATGGAACATGGAAGCTGGACACGTCAAATTTTCACGCGTCCGTACGAATTTTGATCCCATTTGGCAATACATTTAATTCATTACGGGGAATAGTTGGACCGTCTTCATATCATATATTAAGGTCAGATTTTGGACGTGGTTCTCTCACTTTCGTTTTCACTTTATCGACAGAAAATGAGCACTATTCGAGCCATCAAAACTGACAAATCTCCTGCCGCAGTAGGTCCATACTGTAAGTTTGAAATATTCGCATCAAAAGCACAGTTGATTGTTCATCATGGGTATAATTACTTATGAAAATATACTATTTTGTGACAAAAATAGCTCAAGCTATAGTTGCAAACGGCTTTGTCTTTACATCAGGTCAACTTCCTATCAATCCTGAAACAAAGAGTATCGTTGGCGACGATGTTAAAGAGCAAGTGGTAGGCAATAAATACGTGCAGACCAATTTATTCAAATTAAAACGTAATTAATTATATTATTAGCTAAATACTCCGTCATAAAATTCTTTTTTACATAAAGCGTCAAACACTTCGTAATGTGTCAAATGTATTGCAAGCTGCAAATTCCTCACTTTCACGAGCAGTTAAGATTAACGTCTATATAAAGGATATGGATGATTTTGCAGCTGTCAATGATGCCTATGCTGAAGTAAGGTTCTTTAATATTTATCGAAAAATAATGAAAATTATTTAAAAAGTGAAGGTATTTCTGCGATGTGCTTCTTAACAATGATTTTTTTATCCAATTATCAGATTCTTGGTGACGCCCGACCTGCTCGAGCGTGTATTGAGGCGGCTAGGTTGCCTAAAGATGTTAAGGTTGAAATTGACGCAGTCGCTATTGTGAACGAATGACTTCAATGATTGTCTATCGAATAATCTTATGCTGTATTAGAAGAACGTTTATTTATTTTTCTGAAGGATGTATTGTATATTACTGAGAAATTATAATAAATCACTATTATGTTAAAAATTTTATTTTAAAAAATTATTTAAAAAGTTATTTAAAAAGTTATTAAAAAAGATTTGGTAAACTCTTACAATCAAGTTAATACAGTATTATATATTATTACAGTAAAAATATTGAAATATTACAATTAAAGAATAATATGTATAAAATTTATAATTTCAACTTATCTATCAATAATATAAGATTTTAATTACATTTCTAAAATAGTTTATAATTTTTGAATGCATATAGTTTCTTGTTAGTAATAATAGTGAAAAATATTATGTTTTTTAATGTTAGAAAGAATTGTTAACTCTTGTATTGATTTCTTTTTTTGGGGGGGGGGCTAAGTGCGATACACGCGCGGCTTTTATTAATCACTCTTGTATTGATTTCTTTGTTATTCATATAGATTTTATTTATATACAATATTGAAGTTTTGATTATTTATAATTAAATTAAAATATTGATAAATTAAATATTTATATTAAGACTATTTATTAATAATACTTCATGAAAATTTTATTATAATATCAATTTTTCATTAATTTAGAAATAATAATATTGTTACATATTATAAAAATTATATATTATAATTAAATATTAAATATTTAAAAAAAAAAATTCAAAATTGTTTAAAATTTTAAGAATTAAATTTCATTATATTTAAATAAAAATTTTACTGGTTTAATTGTTCATGTTTTTTTTTTATAATAAAATAAAACAAATTTTTTTCAAAATCATTTTTTTAAAATTTATATAATAACAAGTATTACTAATATAATATAATATAAATATAATATAAAATATTTATTTATTTCTAATATAATTAATATTAGAGTAGCAAAATAAAATATACGTATATATTTTTTGTCTACTTTTTATATTTTAGTTTCTTTTTTTTATTAATATAATTAATAATTTATTATATTTATTAATTTTTATATCTTAATTATTAATAGAAAATATATAATTTATATTTATTTATTTTTTTTTAAGTAGATAAACACCAGTTCTTTATTTTATTTTGTATGTATTAAAGCATACCTTTTAGAAAGAACCAACATCTCTTAGGTGCAAAAGCATATAATAAGTTTAATACTAGCTTGCCTACTCTACGATATTTAACTAGCATAGAAAAGAAATTTTAAACTATACTAATTGTTAAACAAAGGGAGTAGCGACTATGCCTATCTACTCAGAAAAAAGCTTTTACATTTTGAAAATTTGAAGAGAAAAAAAATAAAGCTAACTAAAACTAAAACTAAATCAAGTAAATTATAAAATCTATAAAAATAAAAGCTAAATCTCCAAGAGAACACTTTGCCAGGCTCGTTGTCCCAGATCGCTAGTTCTTTGCGACTTGTTGATACTTCTTTTCTTGACACGAATAGTAGAATATACTTGAAATTGTTTATTGTAATAGTTGTTGTTGTTATGGTAGAGATCAGACAGGTAAATCAGTTTGAGCCAGTTGTTGTTGTTATTATTGTTATTGTTGTTGTTGTTGAATTGATAAACCAGTTTAAACCAGTTTTGTTATTTTGATTTGAATGATGTAGTGAATTTTGATTGGATGGTTGCCAGACGTCGATCAATTGAAGTGAGTAAACTGATTTCGGTTTTTGGGACCAAAAAAGATTGAAGATTTTTTTGAGTGGCACAGTAAGTGATGCCAGGATAGAAAAGTGTATGAAGGTTGTGTTGAAACAAACATTAGAACTTACAACTTTGTTTGAGTATGCTTTTTGAAAAGTGTTTATAAATATAGTGATTGTGATAATATATATGAGGATAGTTTTCATAATAAAAAGAGGGTATGGGTTGCAAAAAAACTAAAGAACCAAAGTATATCATCACGGGCCTTTCTCCATGCAACTGAAGGATAAACAAGACTTCCAAACTTGAGTAGACTTCGACCAGAGGTCCCATCCCACTGCACCAGTTGTTTTTAGTGTTCTTGGGTTCCTGAGCTGGGGTTCACTTGCAATAAAGAGTGTAAAACATTTTTCTTTAACCAAAATTACCATATATGGAAATTTTTAGTAAACAGACACGATCAGGTGAGAGTTTTTGAAAATATATAATTTAATTACAGTATATTTATAATAATTATTATGTTTAACAAGTTATTAACTTATCAAAAAAAAAAACTCTTTCCTGATTACCCAGATTCGCCTAAAATCCGCAGTAATCAGCCAGGAGTCCGCCCAAAGGCC